CAGCTCTACACTGGGTTGTTTACATGCAGAGCTAATACAAGAGTGCAGTTCTTAAAACAAATATCTCTAATGCTTGTGGCTGATTGTTCAAGGGTAAAGGCAAAAATCTAGTATCAGGATTCAAGGCAGCATTTTGATGGTAACCTGATCCTGAGGACCTAGATAACATTTGAATTTGGTGCTAATTGTTAACTATCTGATCCAATAGCAGGTGTTTATCAATACAGAACAGCGCACAGCACTTAACTGTAATCAGTGAGCTAACTGAACAAGCTCTGAGCTAATAATGAATGTGATGCAGCTGGTGACACCCATTTTCTCTTGGGTTTAGAGTTATCGTCAGTGCCCTTACCAGGCTTTGCATGTAAATTAGTCAACTGGAAAATATGGGTGATTTACTGAAGGTGGTTAATAATGGGGGAAAAAAAAAACGTGTAATTTGGGAAAGAGAAAGATTTTCAGCTGTCTGCGGGAGCGCTTGTGGAAATAAGGAAAAAAATATAGCAGCTGTTAGAAGGCTCTTGCGATGCAGAGAGCTCTTGCGCTACATCTGATTTCAAGGCCAATCTGCTCCAAAGGTGTGATATAACATCTCTGAACAGGTTGATTAGAAAATATTTAGGTTAGCCATTGACATGCAGCAGTAGTTTCCTACCTCTGGACCTGAAGGCTGGTTTCAAGTCCCACTTGCCTCAGACAAGTATCATAACATATCTGATCAGGTTCATTCAAAAGATCTATATCAGGCAACGAGACAACTGTCTCCCTTTTCACTCCATAATTATAACAGAACCTCGGCATAAAAGAGGTCAGATTGCAATTAGTTTGGAGCTTGGGTGACCTTGAACAGGCAGTATGACAAGAGATTGGATTTCCTCAACGCACTGATGTTTTTTTTTAAATCTTCACAGATTCCAAGATGAATCAAGTGCACAATCTGGGCTTGTGTCTTGCAGATGGTGGACAGGTTTTGGGGAGTTACTCACTACAGGGTTCCTATCCTCTGACCTGCTCTTGTTGTCACTGTATTTATATGGCTGGTCCAATTCAGTTGTAATGCTCAGATTGTTAGTAATGGTCATGCCATTAAATATGAAGGGACGATTGTTAAATTCTCTATAGTTTGAGAAGGTCATTGCCTGGCACTTGTTTGATACAAATGTCATTTGATGCTTATCAGTCCAAGTCTGAGTGTTGTCCAGGTCTTGCTACAGATTGCTTCAGTATCTGCGAATCACAAATGGTGCTGAACATTGTACAATCATCAGCGAGCATTCTGACCTTATGATGAAGGGAAGGTCACTGATGGAGCAGCTGAAGATGATTGGGCATAGGACACTACCCTGAGGCACTTCTGCAGAATTGTCCTGAAGCTGAGATGACTGACCTCCAAATACCATAACCATCTTCCTATGTGCCCTGTATGATTACAACCAGTGGAGAGTTTGCCCCCTGATTCCTTTAAGGAAATCCAGGCTCGTGTGAAGTGTAGCTGCTGGGTTTCATTATACCCAAGTTTACTTCTGGCAAAGATGTTGAGAGCCATTGGTATCTACCCAGCAATGTGGAAAATTGCCCAGATATATTCTGTTCACACAAAGCAGGACAAATGGGTAAATGGTATATACTACAGACTGGAAAAGCCAACACTCTGCTCAAATAAATAGCTCTGATGAAGAGTCATCTAGACTCAAAACGTCAGCTTGCTCTCTCTCCACGGATGCTGCCTGACCTGCTGTAATCTCCAGCATTTGTTGTTTTCAGTACAGATTCCAGCATCTGCAGTAATTTGCTCCTAAATAGCTTTGTTACTTGGTTTGGAGATGTGCATGATTTTGCAAATAGTAGACCACATCAAAGGTCCTTTACTGCCCAGAGACTGAAACATAGACAATGACAAATGGCCTCCTAAATTTCTATTTGGTGGAAAGTCTACACTTGACGGGGATATTACTACCTTTGCAGTAAAGCTTTCAAACCTTCTGGAGTGACTCGGAATTAATGATTCGGTCTTCTGGACTCTGCTGTGAGCAGCTCTGTAGAAAAGTGAGAGGATCATTATTGCAAAAATGGTCTCCCATCTATTTTCTTGTGCAGTTAGAAAACTTATTGAATGGATGAGGTCACTGAAGGATAAAATCTTCAGGAGGTTATGTCCAACCAGAGCTGTCGATCTTACTCTGCGTATGTGCCAATGACATTCAGTGACATACTCTGTCTCCAACAGACTTACGGAACACCTGAGGCACACTCAAATACATATTAAAGTAGGTGAGAAATTCAGGAACACCTTTTAGAGTTTTCTCTCCCATGACCCAGACTGCTAGGAGGCTCAAACTGATGAAGGTATATTAATGGAGTCTCCTCAATTATGTCTCAATCAGCATCAACATGAATCAGCCCCACAGTTGGTTCTAAATTACATTGAACTCCATGATTTGACAGAACAATTCTGTAAAAAGGAGGTTAGGTAGTTAATTTTAGCACTTATCTGACCTTGAGTATGCAATATAACAATTCTTTAACGGACCTCCTTCCCCCCCATCCCCGACCTGATCTACTTTCTCGCACTAATTTGTCATTTCTAGTGAAGTTGGACACTTTGATCACAATATTCTTGTGTCGTCAAGGTCACTTGCAAATATTGTGAAAAGCTGGGTTCCAGGGGCTTATCCTTTTGGGATTCCAATGGTTAGTGCAGCTCATTCACAGCAATTCTCTGTTTTCTCTTGTGAAGCCAATTTGCTATCCAATTTGCTACTTCACCATTGATTTCATCGAGCCCTCACCTTCGCTTGAAGTCCTTTGTGAAACATCTTGTCAAAAGCTTTGCAAAGTTGAGATGTAGAATATTGACCTACATTTACCTTTATCCATAAACTGGTCACATCCTGAAAAGCCAGTGAAAAACTTGTTCGTGACCTTCATTTGATGAACACACACTGGGCCCTCAGTGACTGCCCTGTAACAATGAGATAACCCTGAATTATTTCTCCGATGATAGACTTCTCTGTCGAACTCATTATCAACGGCAAGTTAACATGTCTCTATTTGATTCACTTTTGTCTTTACTTCATGATTGAAGTCGGGCAACTTCATTCGATCCACTCCCAAGGAATTTTTCAGCCATTGTCTCACCCGCTAACCCTGAACTACTTTCAGTTCACCAACAAGAAACTACATTTATGTAGTGCCTTTAATGTGATGGAATCAGCCTCCCCGCTTCCCCAGTCGCTGTAAGGCAATAAGTTTTGGGTTTTAAGAAGTCTATTAAGAAGCAAAGCAAGGTAGAAAGGCAGAGAGGTTCAGGAAGGCACTTCCACAGCTTAGGCCGAGGCTCCTGAAGGTACAGATAATCAATGGTGGAGCGATTATAATTGGGAATGCAGAAGAGGTCAGAATTAGAGGAGTGTAGATATCTCAGAGGATTGTGGGGTTAGTGGAGATCACAGAGTTAGGGAGGGGCAAGGACAAGGAGGGATTTGAAAACCAGGATGGGAATTCCAAAATCAATTTGTTGTTTAATGGGGAATAAATGTATCACAGAAGTGTTACAGTACAGAAAGAGGTCATTCAGCCCATCTTCTCTATACCAGTTCTCCAAATGAGCATTATGACTTAGTTCCAGCCTTTTCCCCATACCCTTCACAATGTTTCCATTTAAATAGTCAACTAATATCCTATTGACGGCCTCTCCATTGAATCTTGTTTCCACATTTTCAGACAGTGCGTTCCAGACCCTATTTGTTTTTTTCCATGTATCTTAGTTGCTTTTTGGGCAAATCACTGTGGACCTCTTGCTCTTGATCCTTTGTACAAGCAGGAACAGTTTCTCCCTACCGACTCTATCTAGCCTCCAGAGGATTTTGCAAACTTCTACCTGTTAGCCGTCTCCTCTCCAAAGGCAATTTCTTCACAACTTCCTCAATCTATTTTCATACTGAAGTTTCCTATCCCCGGAACCACTCTTGTAAGCCTGCTCTGTCCTCTCTCTAGTGCATTCACATCATTCCTATAGTGTGGTGCCCGGAACTATGCACACAACACTCTAGCTGAAGTTTAACAAGTTCACCTCCTATACCCCTATTAATAAAACCCAGGGTAATTTATGTTTTACTTAACTGCTCTCTCCCCTTTTCCCGCAACCTTCAATGATCTGTTTACACATATACCTAGGTCCCTCTGCCTCCTGCACCCATGTTAGAATTCTACCCCTTTCATTGCTTTGTCTATCCTTGTTCTTCCTAGAAAAATGTATCACCTCACATTTCTCTGCATTGAACTTCACCAGCCTCCAAATGCCCAGTCCGCCAATTTGTCTATGTCCTTTGACAGTCTACACTGTCCTTCTCATATTTTACACTGCCTCCAAGTTTCATACAGTCAGCAAATGTTGAAATTGTGCCCTGCACACTCAAGTCTAGGTCTTTAATATAAATTAGGCAAATCAGGGATCGCAATACCCAAACCATAGGGAACTCAAACTTCAAACCCTGCTGTAGCCTGAAAAATATCATTGGCCATTGCTCTCCTTTTCCTAAAACTCATATATCCATGATGCTGCTATTCCTTTTATTCCATGAGCTATAACATTTGTACCAATTCCGTATGTCAGTAGAAAACATCGGCACTGTTACCCTCATGTTCTTTTCTGTTACATTTAAAAAAAAAACTCCATCAATAAGACCATAAAACCATAAATCATAGGAGCAGAAATTAGGCCATTCGGCCCACCGATTCTGTTCTGCCATTCAATCATGGCTGATAAGTTCTTCAATCCCATTCTCCGGCTTTCTCCCCGTAACCTATAAGACCATAAGTCTGTTGACTTTGAACTGGTGATTGATGGGCCTGAATCGGTGATTGATGGCCCTGAATCGGTGATTGATGGGCCCGAATCGGTGATTGATGGGCCTGAATCGGTGATTGATGGCCCCAAATCGGTGATTGATGGGTCCGAATCGGTGATTGATGGGTCCGAATCTGTGATTGATGGGCCTGAATCGGTCATTGATGGGCCTGAATCGGTGATTGATGGCCCCAAATCGCTGATTGAAGGGCCCGAATCGGTGATTGAAGGGCCTGAATCGGTGATTGATGGCCCCAAATCGGTGATTGATGGGCCTGAATCAGTGATTGATGGGCCCAATTCGGTGATTTATGGGCCTGAATCGGTGATTTATGGCCCCGATTCGGTGATTGATGGGTCCGAATCGGTGATTGATGGGTCCGAATCGGTGATTGATGGGCCTGAATCGGTGATTGATGGCCCCGATTCGGTGAT